CCCATTCCAACATGTAGAGTTACAGGTGCACCCCAGCCCACCGAGCTTTTACGTGGGTTCTGGGGATCTAAATTTAGGTTCAGGTGGGTTTGTAACTTTTGGAGCCCCAAAAGGTGAGGAGCACTCGGTGGATGGATGGCTTATACGAAGCAGAAATCTACCTGGTGAATGCCTTTAGTCCCAGAACTCAGGAGGCAGAGACAAGTAGGTCTGTGAGTTCGAGGTCAGCCTGGTCAATATGAGACCTTGTCTAAAAAGAAGTCTGGATATGGCTCAGTTGATAGTGCGTTTACATAGCATCCTGTGCAGCCCTAAATTGGATCCCTTAAATGGGCTTGGTGTTGCCTCTAATCCTGGCACTGAAGTGAGGGAAGAGGGATGAAACGTTCAAGGTCATAGGGCAGAAGTCTGAGGCTAGACTGGAACGAAGGAAACTGAGGCTTAGAAAGATTAAGCCACCAACCCACATCTTCAATGTCAAGGTGTAAAGGTAAAGTGAGCCAGCCTCTCCCTCCTCCATCACCGCAAGCTGAGTCTGTGTCCCTGTCTGTCTGTTTCTATTTCCACCAGTCCCTGTCTGTCTCCGCGCCTCTGCCTTGTGCGTCCCCCATCTGTGCCCAGAAGCCGCCGTCTCTCTCTGTGCCAGCCCCCGCACACCGCAGCTATTTTGGGGGTTTTGGGTGTGGCAGAAAGCCCAACAGCTCGCAGGAGCGCTTCCTTCGGCCCCCGGCTCGGACCACGCTCAGCACACGGCCGGCTCCTCCGTGGGATTCCCGGACGGGGAAGTCCCAGCGTGGATCCGCGAAGAGCAAGCAGAGGGACCACCGCGCCCCCAGCGGCCGACCGCCGCACCTACACCCTCCCGAGCGCGCGTGCGTCACCTGTCGTCTCGGAAACGGGAGGCGTCATCTTCCCCGCAAGCTTTGAGTCAGCTGCTTGCTGACGTCCACTGACGTCACACACACCCTTGGGAGAGATGAGGGATAACCGAAAGGACTGGGAAAGTTCCAGACCCAGTCTTCAGGGGGAACCCGCGGGTTCTATGGGAAGGTGCCTCTAGTCTACCACACAGGCAGGTGACCCTTGACCCGGGCTCAGGATATGAGCTCAGGGAAACTGGATGAAAAGGAACAGCAGGATCGAGTCAGTGATCCCAACCAAGGCTCCAGGGGCGGTAGGGGGGTTTGGGCTTGGAGCGGGGCTTAGACAAAAGTTAGTCATGGGGACAGCCCTCTAGCCACTGTAGCTGTTTTGGGGGGCGGGCATATTTATGCCTCAGTTTACCCCCTTTGATTGCACTCACACACACACAAACACACAAATTTCAGATTGACAAATTTCAGTCCACAGATAGTGGGCAGGGACCCTTGTGGCCTCTCAGGTAGAGAGACAGTTTTGGCCAGCTGGTGGAGGAAGGTTGTCCAGGGTGAGGTATTGTGGGTCTCAGATGTCAGGAAAACTAAGGTGGGGGGGACCCCTTAGAAAACACAAGTGGATCGCTTACAGAGGGTGATTCTGGATGCAGAGACGAGACATGGGCCTTTCATTTCAGCACTTGGCAGGAAAGGCGGGAGTGATTTCAAGGTCAGCTTGGGCTACATAGAGAAACAGTCTAAAAGAAGGAAAGAAATAGGGTAGAAAGATTATCACATAGGTGCACAGTGGCACGGACCTGTAATGCCAGCATGTGGTAAGCTGAGGCAGGAGGAGACCAGCCTAGGCTCCATAACCCCGCCCCACACACACACTTCAAATTATGCGGCTTAAAAAGAGGCTCTTTCACACTAAGCGTGGGAGGGCACCCTCCATGGGAGACTCAGAAACGAGAGGCCTGTATGTGCCCATTAGCTGCTCCCTGGGGTAGCTAAATAGTTGTGTTTCTGGGGGCAGCATTTAGACCCACAAAACACACCCCAATTCCACCCATGTCCCTCCACAGAGGCCCAGGGAGCCCACAGAGTCCTGCTGTGCCAACATGGTAGGGGCGGCCCTGCGCCGCCCTCACCATCATCTCCTGGTCAGGGCTGGGCTCAGCCTGAGCCCTCGGATCCTGGGGTCCCTCCAATGCCAAGGCCCACCACGCTGCCGCTGCTGATCCCGCCTCGAATATTTATCACCAGAGCTGAGGCCAACAGGTAGGCAGGAGGGGGATCGAAGTGGGAAGTGAGCATGGAGGAACTGAGCCAACCAGGAGCCCTTCCTGAGCTGCTAGCGTTTTTTGTAACCCTCGCCAATTCTGGCTGGGACAGCTCTCCTAGGAGGCGCCCTGGCAGCCTCAGCGAGCCTTTTTCCTAAGCCGCCTGAGTCAGCAGAGGCCCACATAGAGGAGAAGGGTTTGCACCTTTGCAGAGCCTTCTGGACACTCCCTAAATTCACAGAGCTGAGGGGTTGGCTTTTGGCCAGTGTGTGATGCAGTGTCCCTGCTGGCAGCAGTCTAGATCTCTCAACTTTAGCCAGGATGGTGGCATCTTGGAGTAGGTCCAGCACCTGTATTTTTCACTGGGATGGGAGTGGGGGGTACAGAAAGTCTAAGCTCCATCTGTACTTCTTTTTTTCTTTAACAGTTTTTGTGACATTGATTGATTGGTTGGTTGGTGGTGTGTATGTGTGTCTTGTTCAGAGGACAACTCTAAGGGTCAGTTCTCTCCTTCCACCGTGTGGGTCCTGAAGATCTGACTCAGGCCATCAGGCTTGGCAGCAAGCACCTTTACCTGCTGAGCCATCTCACCAGCTCCACTAGTTGTGCCTTCTAGCTATTTCTCATCAGGGTCCTCCCAGGGCAACCTAGCCCCTATGCCCACTTCTTGGCTGGGAGCTCAGTTAGAGAGCCAGACAGTTGAGCTACCCCCAAACCACTACTGCTTTGGAGGGTCTCTGCTTAAGCCATGGTACTTTCTCCAGATAAGTCCCCTCTCCCACCCTCCAGCCTGTATTTGGTTCAAGTCCAGCTTGATTTACCTCAGGGCTTAAGATAAACAGCCTTGACTCACAACTGGGAGCCTTCCACCTGCAGCTCCTTCATGCTCTTGACCCTCATGCTCTTGACTCTGGTACATCTGGGCACCCTCAACACTTGCAAATCCCGTTTAGATGCCAGGGGGAAGGTTCCTGAGAAAAGTGGGGAACAGATACAATTCTGGCTTGGGGGATACCTAGGGCTGTTGGTAAGGGACCAGTTCTTTTGCCGCGTTTTGGCCCACGCTTGGAGACCCCTTCAGCTACAGAAAAGTGGTTAAAGAAGTTGGGAGACTGGGAAAGGTTTGTTGCCTTTATGTTAATGAGAACCGGGTGGGGGCGGGCGGCAAGACTTGTCCTCTTAGGCGATCTAGAGAGGGGATGTAAAGGGGACAGGGCTTGGACTCGGTGACACTTCAGCGTCTGAGCAATGATCCAGCCTGGGAGGAAGGTGGGGCATGGGGGAGCACAAGAACAGTCCCCCCGCAAGTCACCAGGGCTCAGCCAGAGCTGGGAGGAGGGATGGGGATGCGCTTGAATCCCGGCTCGCTCTTTGCTCGATCGCTCGGCACGGCGCTGAGGGAGGCGGGAGCGTGAGTCACGGCGACTCCGGATTTAGGTGCCGGAAGGGGGGTTCTGAGGGCGGGAGACAGGGGAAGAGGCTCTATTTGTTTACTCGCCTAAAAACGACAGAGGTGGGGTGTATCCTGTCCCAGCTATCCCTCCCGTCTGCCTTAGTTTATCTTCCGCAGAAGAGCTTTAGTTTTTAATAATTAAAAGAGGGAGCGGCGATTGGGCCGGCGAGATGGCTCAGTAGGTAAAGGCATTTGCCTCCAAGCTTGACTGAATTCGATTCTGGGGCCCACAAGGATTGTCCTCTGACCTCTCCTCTCCAAGGCATCTAGCGGGTATTTTCAAGGACCAATGGTACACAGCTGGACCAAATCTTGCTGCAGGAGTTGAGATATGTAGCATTTGGATGGTGAGGTGGAGACACGCGTGCCCACACACAAGCACACTAAAATAATGTCCAAAGGACACACCCCCGACACAACTCAAGGGGCGGACCACACCAACATGCCCCAGCACACACCCTCGGGAGTCACAGACAACAGAGGAGAAATCCTGTGAACAACTCGCACCAGCATCCTCCCATCATAATCACAAAACAGCGCCCGAGCGCGTGGGAAGGTGTATGTAGACCGGGGCCACCGGAACAAACCCTATGGGACGCTCCGTCCTCCCGACGGGCCGCACACGTGCGCGCGCATCCTTACACCCCGGACAGCAGCAGCGGGAGCAGCCACCACGTGCGCGCACACTTCCAGGCGACATCGAAAACACAGACAACGCTCGGGAAGGGGCCACGTGCGCTCACATCCCGCCAGGTTGGGGGGGTAGCCACACGCCATCACGGCCCTACGCGCAACACTACTGGTTTGCAGACACTGGTTTGCACCGCACCTTGGAGGCACCAGGAGGACTCTCTGCAAAGTGGGCCTGGGAGAAAGGGTGACTGAGGTTTTAGAGACGAGAAAACGACAGCCCCTGACTCCGCCCAAGCCTTCATGGATGAGGCTGAGTGACACCCCGCCAACCAGTCGGATGTCTCCGTCCGGATGCCATTAACCCTTTAACTCTTCGGTCCCTGAGCGAGCCTGCTGCTCTAAAGGGCTCTCCGAGAGAGGCGAGCCGCGGCGCCCCCTCCCCGGCGGGATTGGCTGTGCGTGGGTGTGGAGGGCCGCCACCCTCCTCTTCTTGGAGGAGGTGGGGGTGGTGCTGTGACAGTCGCCGGGCGGGTGGGGGGCAGGGAGGGGCGGGCCGGGGCGGGGAGTCACGGCTAGCGCTGGGTTCCGAGAGTGCAGCGGGCTCCAAAAGCCGGGAGGACTCCGGCGCTGCCGCCGTCCGCGCTTTCCGTTCTTGGGCGCCATGGCTCCACTGAGGCCAGGAGCCCCCGTGGGTCCCCAAGCACCTCTGCCGTGGCGCCGCTAATCTCGGACAGGTCAGGGGACGCCTTGCACTCCCCCGGGGCGCCCCGCGAGCTGGAGCCATGGAACCCCCGGCCGCCCCCTCGGAAAGGAGCCTGTCTCTCTCTCTCCCCGGGCCCCGAGAGGGCCAGGCCACCCTGAAGCCGCCCCCCCAGCACCTGTGGCGGCAACCGAGGACCCCGATCCGCATCCAGCAGCGCGGCTACTCGGACAGTGCCGAGCGCTCAGAGCCGGAGCGCTCGCCGCACCGGCCCATAGAGCGCGCCGACGCCGTGGACACTGGTGACCGGCCAGGCCTGCGGACTACCCGCATGTCCTGGCCCTCGTCCTTCCACGGCACTGGTACCAGCGGAGGAAGCAGCAGGCGGTGAGACTCCCCGACGCGCAGAGCGCACAGGCGCGCGAGGGGCGCCACGCGCAAATCTGGCCAAAGGGGGCGCTGTGGGACGGGTGGGGTCAGCGTGACCCGCGTGGGTGGTGAGAGGGGGAGCCATTGCACCAGAAACTCTCTTACTGTTTGTTGCGGGTTCCCGAGTGAAGTTGGGTGTGGGGGATTCATGCAGCTTGAGGGGTCTCTTTACAAGCTCAGCCAGTAATGGTATAGAGCACCTGGAAAGGGGGTACCACTTGAAGAGACTTACCGAGGGCTGGAGTCATTGTTGGGATACCCTAGAGATCATTCTGTAGTGGGTGCCTGCAGAACCACGCTGGACCACGATGGTTACTTCAGGCGGGTAGCACTCTAGGTGGAGTGGGAAAATGCAGGGAAGCCTCATAGTAGCTGGTATTAGGAATTCAGGGAGATCTTCTGGGGAGCACTATTCAGTCCTGTATTAACATTTGGAACAAGCCCCCTTCCAGACATTTGGGGCTCAGTGGCACCCCAAGGCACCTCATTGACTAGTGCCAAGGGCATTTGAGGTCCCATCAAAGAGGAGTTCCAACCTCCCTGAAGTGAAGGTGTATCACACAGTTGGGATTACTCCTGCAGTAATCTCAGAGGAAGGGCCCTTATGTGTGTGACTGACTGGCTTGGGCTGCCTGGACTCAGGGCTTTGCCTGACTCTGCTTTGGGGGCAGTGATTGTGACAGAGTGACTGTGTTTCTGAGCTGCTGTAATTGTCCCAGGGTGACTATGTGTCTGTCACTGAGCTGTTAAGGGCATGGCTGCATTTACCCGGCAGTGTGTTTATGACATGGTGACAGTGGTGGCTGCCTCTGGCAGAGTGTCTGTGGTGGTGACAGAGTAACTGTGTCATCATGGGACATGGTTAATATGGCATAGTGACTATGTGTTTCCAGAACAATAAATATATAATGGTTTCCACATTCCAGGGGATACCACCATAGTGATAGTATATGTTCCACAGGCTTATGGGTTTGGGGCTGTGGTGTGGGCCTATGACCTGAGACCCTATGAGACAGTGTGACCACCCTTGTTTGCTTTTTTTTTTTTTTTTAAAGAAAGTGGCCTGGCTAGCCTAGAACTCACTAAATAGCCTAGGCTGGCCTTGAACTTGTAACTGTCCTGCCTCACTCTTCCCTGTACAGTACTTCAATGCTGTCACTTGAGTCTAGTGACCGTTCTAACAGTCTGATAAACCATGCACCATCTGCCCTGGGTACCCTAATTTCTAGTGTCTTCTTGACCTAGGATAGTCCCAGTGATTGAAGCCACTGTAAAAGGTGCCCCAGGCTCTGACTGTGAGTTCTCCAGGCCACTGGGTGATTGACAGCTAACATTCACCACAATTGCCTGTTCCTTTGGAGCATCTGTAAAATATCATATCTAGGCTTCTCTGCCTGGAGTCCCCAAGCAAGGCCCCGTTAGACTATGACTGCAGTTTTCCTAGACACTTCAGGGACCCTCCCCCAGTTCCTACAGCTAGTTCTCCAAGGACACCACACACACACACACACACACACACACACACACACACACACACACACACATTCTCCAAGGATGCCCCACACATACTTCATACTCCCAACTGGTGCAGCCTGAGTCCTACTAGGAAGCAAGTGTCAGGCTCCTGAGATTTCTCAGTGGGAACTAGGAGAGGAAAGCTCTTAAAAAGCTCTTAAAAAAACAAAACAAAACCCCACATCAACAGGAAATGCCATGCCAGAGGCTCCCAGCCTCTGAGATGGGGCAGGGGAGGAGCCTAGGAATCAGGCCCCATTCTCTTTTTAAGGCCCTAGGGACTTCCTGGTCCCCTGTTGTCTGATGAACAGTGTCTGAGTGGTAATAATTATAACTCCGTGTGCTCTTTTCCTTAACGGCTCACTCTTGGGCTCCAGGCCTGGGCCTTTCCTACACATACACACACACACACACACACACACACACACACACACACACACACACACACCTTTACCCTACTCCTTGTCAGTAGCCTGTGTGGGATCCCTGTTGGACTGATGAGGAAATCAAAGTGGTCAAAAATCCCTTTCCATGCCCTCAAGCTCAGACTTGTAACTCCGGGTTTCTGGTTCAGGTCTCCCAGGTACCTTTGCAGGAGCGCCTTCTGAACATCGGCTTCCGGTTAGACATTACCCAGGAGACATCAGTATGAGAGTTCTCAGCTTCTGGTGTGCGTGAGGAATTTTGCAGATTGTTGTCCGAAGCTCCTGAACTTACAGGAAAACGGAGGAGGCCACAGTGGAAGCGGCTTGTCCCTGTAGTGAGAAATCAGAAACAGGAATCTCAACCCATCCCTGAACCAGCCCGGGTTTCGGTTTCCCTGAGGGAAGTGTGTGGCCTGTGGAGGCCGCAGCTGGGACAGTTCAGTGGGTTGTGGACTGAGAGATGGTATTGGTGCCTGTTCCCTGCACAGAAAGTGGAAGGGGACCGAGAACAAATGCAGCTCAGCTTCTGCGCACAGGGCGTCCCTGACTCTCTCCGTTGGAGTCCAGGCAACTAGTGCAGTGAAGGGTGTAGCTACCCGCTAGCTTATAAAACCCCCAAAGTGGAAGCACTTTTCCTCTTCGAGGTGGCATTTGCACGAGGTCCTCAAATCTGGCGGGATGCGCGTGACCACATTCATGGCACGGCCTCTGAGGCTGAATCACATCCCAGCAGTGATCGGTCAAAAGACAGATGGAAGGACAGGAGAGGCAGAGGCAGGGGAGAGGGGGCACTGGGTTGGCCTCTTACCACACATTGGACCTTCCCACTTTCTCTCCTCCAGAGGAACGCTTCCTGGTCCCCACGAGGGACGTGTATATAACCAGGCTGGTCTCTCCTGTGGGTAATGTCCTATGGGGTCCTATGCACTTGTGGTCCCTGCTGCACGCCCAAAGGCTCAGCCTTGCGCTGGGAGCTGGGGCTGTTAGAGCGCCGTCTGCTGGACTGTGAGAAACATGCAAGTATTGGCTCTCGGGTTTCATGCTTATGGAATGCCTAGGGGAGCTGGGCGCCAGGTGGCCCAACAGCAGGTTGGGACAGGGCTGTGTCCCCTAAGTCCACGCCCTTAGGCCAAAGCAGCAGAAACAGCCATTTGGCGGACACTCCTGGAGTAACTTCTAAGTTGGTCCAGGAACGATTCCCAGCCCTGTTCTGCCTCTGAGGCTTGGGTCCCAGCAAGCACGAGAGCCTCTGACTCCAACTTCTGTGGTACACCTTGCGATGTCCTTGGCTGTCATCTTTATTTGTTTATTTGTTTGTTTGTTTATTGGGACAGGTTCTCACTGTATGTAGCCTTGGCTGTCCTGGAACTTGCTGTGTAGACCAAGCTGGCTTCCAGCTCTAAAAAACCTACCTGACTCTGCCCTTCAGAGTTCAGGGACTGAAGGTCTGTGCTACTGTGCCTGCCTTTTGTTTTTGTTTTGTTTTTTTTCTTTTTGAGACAGTGTCTTTCTGTGTAGACCAGGCTGACCTTGAACTCACAGAGATCCTATTGCCTGTGCCTCCGTGGTGCGACACCATGCCTGGTTATTTGGATTTTTTAAAATTATATGTATGTGGGGGAGTAGGTATATGTATGTTAGTGCAGGTGCCCACAGAGGACAGAGGCATGGAATCATCTGGAACTAGAGTTGCAGGGGGTGCTGGATTCAGTCTCCCATTCTCTGAAAGACCAGTGCCAGCTCTTAACCCTGAGTGAACCACCTCTTTTTGAGAACTTCCTCCTCAGAGTGAGGTGGCCAAGGTCACAGAGAAATAACAGTATTGAAGTTACACAGAGAGCCAGGTCTCCACTCCAGAACACCAGGAAGATTTGAATGATGTTTTCCCTGTGTGATCTCGGAGCCTTGTTTTCAATGTATTACATTTTATATATTATGAGTTTTTATTACAGTGTGTGTGTGTTTGAGCATTTAAGTGACAACCAGAGGACAACTTGCAACAGTTGGTTCTTCAGCTTACCATGTGAGTCTCAGGACTCAGATTCTCAGGCTTCTTTAGCAAGCTTTTTTAGCCACTGAGCTATCTTACAGGCCCCATTTTATCTTATGTATGTGGTGTATGCATGTGTGTACATGTGGGAACAGAAGTCAGTGTTGTTCATGCTCCTCAATTGCTGTTTGCCTTATTATTTACTACTGTGTGTATGGCTGAGCATAGTGGTGCACACCTCTAATTCTTGGAATTAGGAAACAGAAATAGGTGGATCTCTGTGATTTTGAGGTCAGTCTGGTCCTCATAGTGAGTTACTGGACAGCCAGAGCTACATAGTGAAACCATGTCTAAAACCCCCAAGCCCCATTAATTATTATTATTCATAATTACTGTCAACTATTAATAAAATAGTTATTATTTTTATTGTGTGTTGTCTGAGTGTGAATTTGGGCACAGTACAAATGTGGAGGTCAAAGGACAACTTTAAGGAGTTGATTCCCTCCATCCATCATGAGTTCCATGGATGACAAGTTCTGTGTGTTAAGTGTTTTTACACAATGAAGCATCTTGGCAGACAAAAAGACTTATTTTATTTTATGTGTATAGACCTGAGTTTATCTATGTGTACCAGGTGTGTACAGGAGCTTTTGAGTATCAGAGGAAGATGTCAGATCCTTTAGCTGGAGTAACCCAAACCCAAGACTTCTTAAAGATCATCAAGCAATCTTGCCCACTAAGCTGGTCTCTAGCCCAACACCTTGCTTTTGGCATGGAGTCCTTCACTGAACCTAGCTTGGCAGCTGGCCAGCTCCCCATACAGATGTATCTGTGAGAGTGGCAGTCATAGGACAACTTCAGTTTTAGTTCTTCAAAAGCTATCTCCCTTTGTTTGTTTGTGTCTGTGTCTCTGTGTGGGGACCCAGCTGGCCTCAGAGATGTGTGCCACCACAGCTGGCTTACTGGTTTTAGGGGACAGTATCTCCCAGTCTCCACCCCTCCTGGCTCCGAGATTACAAGCTGTTGCC